TCTTGAACCAAAATTTATTTACTACATAATTTAAAAACTTAAAATGCAGGACTTAATAGATTTTTAGCACACAGAGCTATACAACTATAACCACTATCAAAATTCACTCGTTTTTCTTATCCCAAAACAGTCTATCTACTAGCTATCATCTCCCAGGTATTTTGTTGCAACATCTTTCCGTTCATATCTGATTTTGTTGATTTGAGTCTTCTCTCTTTTTTCATGGTCTAGGTGAAGTTTCTTAATTTTGTTCATATTTTTTAAAAGCCAACTCTGAATTTTGTGGGTCTTTTCATTTGTTTTTCTAGTCTCTATTTCCTTAACTGCTGCTTTGATCTTTGATATTTCCTTCTTCTGCTATGTTCGGGTGTACTTTGCCATTTTTCTTTTCCAAACCAGCTTTTTCTTGAAAAGTCCTTTCCACGTCTCCTTGTCCAGAGATTCCGGGCAGACTACTAGGTATGATCTGAAGGTAAATGTGCTTTGGAAGGCTGGCCTGGTACCAGTCAACAGGTAGGTGAGCCTGGCACTTATCTAGTAGATGTGCCCAAAAACTGGATCCAAGGGGTGGGCCTGGAGTCTAAGTCTGGGGCCTAAATCTACAGTGACAATTCTGCATCCGTGTCCTTGGGGGCTGGCTGGAGCTTGGATCTCCAGGTGTAGCTTTGAATTCTCCTTCCATAGTCTGGCCCGGCACTAAATCTAGATAAAGTTGAGTGGAATCCTGGATGCAAGCTGGAGGAAGCTTCGGTCTTCTGGACTCTAAGATGCAAGGCCATTGCTACAGCCTGGGGCTGCCCTGAGGCTAGTAATAGTTCCTGGGTGGGAGTCAGGGACTGGTCCAGAGCCTAGGATCCTGGATTCCTCCCTGGTCCCAGAGCCACTGGGGGTCTGGGCTTGCAGCCTTGATCTGCTGATTTCAGCCCAGAGGCTAGTGAGAAGGTAATGCCCTAGAAATAATATATACAAGGGCTCAGCTGGGTCTACGGACATGGGAACGGTGCTGGAGCCTAAATTGATGAGGACCAGTCAAACCCTGAAGTCTACTAGAAGAAAACTGATCCATGAGCTCAATGGTATATGGAACCACAGGGACTATCCTGGCACTAGGCAGACCTGGACCTTGTGTCTGCAGATTACCGTCTAGTGCTTGAAGTCAACAATACAGACTTGGTGCTAAGTAAGCCTGATGCCTGTATGTGGAGGGGCTGGCCTGGTACTGAGCCTGGAGACTGCATCCACGGCGGCCGGACTAGAAACTGTATCCCCAAGTGTCAGAGTCATAATTAGGAGTTGGCCTGGTGCAAGAGCCTGGACCATGGGGCTGTAGGAGACAGCCTAATAATCCCAGAGTTTGAGGCCACTGGAGCTGGCCTCTCACAGGGAAGTCCTGAGCCTGGGCTACTAAGGTTAGCTTAGCAGTGGGACAAGCTAGAGGCTGAGTCCATTGCAAAGACATGGCGTCAGGCTATAGATATAACCTGTTGTGGAGAAGAATCAATAGGCTCAGTCCACAGGTGCCAGCTTAGAGACTGGGGCCATGGGGGCCTTCCTGGCAATGAATTTCACTGGGACAAACATCTTATAAGGTTCAAGGCCGACTCACTTCCCTCTCCTTTCCCAAAGCAGTTATCTCTCTCAATACTGCTCTGCATAGCGTGGGGCAAGGTGTGACAGGGACCCATAAAACTGACCTACTTACCTCCAGTGCTTTTTTTCCCTTATTTCTATGCTGCTCCTGGGTGATGCCATCTCTCGTTTGGTCTCTTTAGTTCTTGTGAAGGTATTTCCAAGTGTGAATAGGTGTTTGAACTGGTGTTTCTGTGGGGTACAAGTGCCATGCTAGAGTACTCTTTTGCCATCTTGCTCCCCTTCACTGTGAAAGATTCAGTTGAATCACTAAGTTCCCATCTTTGTTGTTACAACCGGTATTATGTTTTCTTATTGTTATAACTAGCAATGTATATTGAACTATTCTACAAACATCCCTTCTCACATCTATGTTTTACTTTAAAGCAGAGGGCTATTCATACTCCACAATGCAGCATTGAAAAGAACAAAAAAGTCTTAGTTGTAACCCCATTATCGAAAGATAATTGCCTGATGAGGCTTATCGCATGTCTTTTCATATTTTCGTCTTTCTCTTTCTGTCTGTATGTATAGTATAAAAAAGCAGCATCAAATTGCATACACATTGTACTCTGTTTTGCTTTCCCATGATATTGTGAGTGTGCCGATGTTTTCCCTATTTAGTTTTTATATGTGTCTCAATGGACAAGTCTGAAGTGTTCTCTAAATCCTCTCGGCCTCTGTGTCTCCTGACACAGTGTCCCGCTCATTCTCAGCCACTGCTTTGGTACATGACTCTCTTTCGGAACCACCCTGCCCCAAATCCAGAGTCTCTGGCTCCGCTCAGTACAAACTACTTGGTTGAAGCCAACTAAATACAACGACTTCCTTATGAACTAAAGAAACAGTATAAGGTGGAACTGGGGAATTAACTCTCTGACGGATGAACTTTGACTCGGGGTAAGGGAAGACACATGGGAGAAATAAGATGCATTCTTCCTCAAGTATTTCCTCGGATGATCTCCTCCAACATGCCTAGAGGCAAACAGTAGCTTGTGAATAACGTATTATTGCATTTTCCACTCATCCTTCTTTGCCTCACTCCTTACCAGCTTCGTACTTGCTATCCTGGAATTGCAGGTTCCAAGGAAAACTGGCCCTTAAGTCTCGTTTCCGGATCTCTTTTTGTATGGGACCCAGGAAAAGCACCTGCATGGCATTGTATCACAGGATATTATAACTCAGTAATAAATCTGCCACGGATAAGCTTTCAGATGTTTCCAGATTTTGCTGATTACAAGCAGTTCCAGCATAAATATTCTTACACATTTCTCCAATTTTATTCTTAGGATAAGCTTGCAAATTTAGAATTACTGTACATTGTGATAAACATTTTAAGAGTAAAATCATCACCTTGAAATTCTTTAACTCCATCCTTAAAGAATCAGCAAAAGTTATTACACTCTGAAAAGGGAATCCTTTGTAGTTTATTCTAGTAAACTTTAGAAACAATGCAGGAAATGTAATCTGGTCTCTAGATCCTCATTAAACAAGTAACAAGGTTTAATGTCTCGAGGTGTCTCCAATATGTTCAGCGCTTCCTTCATTTTACAGAGAACACATTATCCCATGTGTTCAGGAATACTCTCTTCAGCTTTAAGGGATGTTTTGTTTCACTTCAAGTTCTCACTTATACACCGTTTTAATTAATACCACTGACTCCTGTTGGAAGTCTTTCGAGAAACTGAAACATCAAAGAGGTTTTTCTTTTTTCTGGTGCTCAGCTAAAGCCTACAGCCTCCTCTAAATTGCTAATGGAACTATCTAGGTGCTATCGCAGTTCACTACTTCTCCATAACGCCATTCTGCGAGGGCACAGGCTGATTACATGGGGTCTAATAACTGGCATATACTCCTCATGCTGCCTCTGACAGACTGAATAAATACGATACATGTGCGATTTTGTTCCATTATACTACATATTTTCTCATATGAGTGTTACTAAAAGTATCACTATGCAGTTTGAGGAGTTAGATGAGCATTCCATAATTGACAACTTAGACACGATTGTTCTGATTTGACCGCTGTGTTCTGTCCATGCAAGATATTAAATTCTACCTGTGCCCAGCATCCTACATGTTGTGGCAATGGAAAGCAAACAATTAAAAAATTATTTGATCAGTGTATTTGTTTTCTTCTTTTATTCAGTAATGAGAAAAGGCATATCCTACTGGGTTGAACTAGTGTATATCTATGATTCTATAATCTATCTTGATATACTGTATCTCAAAAGCAACACCACTTGATAAGACTGGGCCCCAAAGTCAAAATCCTTGTGTTCAAATCCTGGCTTCAACAATGGGTGGCTTTAGTAAATTGCTGGGCATTTTCAGGTTTTCATCTCTTCTTCTATAACATTAGGACAATAGCCATAAACATTTCACTAGATTATCATGACAACTCAATGTTACTATACATAATTTGGCAGAGTGTCCTGCACATGGTCTGCACATAGTAAAACAAAACAAAAAAAGTAATAAAGATAAAAATAATTTTCATTACTTTTATTGTTACATTTAAGGTATACAATATAATGACATTCATCACTGGAAATTTGCTCCTTTAAATAATCACTTCCTGTTCAACATTATGTTGACTACCTGGGTAAAATCTGATTTAAACTATTTGATCCTGTACTTCTTGCCAGGTTCCATGACTTCCAGGAGGAGAAATCAGGGTGAAAATGAATTAACACTAATCCAAGACTGAATACATTCTAAATGCTTGGCTATTGTACCGTCTCCTCCTAAATCTGTTAATTTCGATGCTCCACATGATACTTCATAATTATTAAAATGTTCCCACATTGCACATGACATAATTTTTTATATTTAAAAGATTGAAAGGACTTTTGTAATTAGGTTCTTAAAATCATTTTTAGTTTCAACTTCCTACTTTAAAACTTGAACAGAAAAAAAGTAATTTGTATCTTAAGCAGTTTAAAAAGTTCTTGAAAATCTCACAGACACTCGGCCTGTGGAATATAATGTATAATTCATCTGCCTTTACACATCGTGTCTTTGTCAGCAAAGTTAAATTTTCTTTTCTATTTATGGGGAAACAGAAGTAGGCAGGTCAGAAATCTTCAGCGGTTTCATACAGGAAAAGCATTTCAGTGAGTGGTGGCTAAAATCAGAAATGTTTCATCTGTGTCACGTGACCTCCAGAGTACCCGTTTTTCTCAGCTCAAAGTGGGGCAAAAGGCCCTGCGTGGCCCTTTGAAATAAACACATGGACTTCAGTGTTCTTTTTGCCCTAGAAGACAGTTCTCCTTCAGAGCTCTCTCTTTTTGGAAGAAAGCCCAGATTTCTGGAACTTCATTGACTCTCTTGTCAGATTGCCCATCAAGAATTAAAGCTCCATGACTTCATGTGGCTGAAACCCAGAAGTCTTTTAACATTTCGTTTTATCTGTAGTTTAAACATCTTTTTGTTTCTGTTCTTATCAGTGAGATGTGTTTTATGTTCTGCCCTTTAAGTTTTAAGTCCCCTTTCTTTCTTGGTGTCCTTTTCAGCACAGGTCAGCGTGACAGCACAAAGTAGCCACTTCTCTGAGTTGTCTGAAACAAATTCTAAAATCAGAGAGTTTGGCCTGGAAACAAAAAAATAAAAGTTATGCGTCAACAGCATCAAAATACAGGTTCCACTTGCATTTTGCTTCTTTGCTCACTGTTTCTAATGAGTCAAAATTATTTCCTTTTGTTCCATTAAATATTTAATCTGAAAACAAACATATGAAGAGGGTATAGGATGAGTCATAAATCCAGAGATGTGGATTGATCTTATCCATCAGAAAGATCAGACAGTTCTAGGCATGCAATAGCTGTTAATATTTATTAAGGACTTTACAATACCAAATGTAATTCAAAGCCCTGGGTGTGTATGAATGAAGTTTTCCTCCCTACAAAGCTAGGTAGTTTCATTCTCATGTTGGAGAGGAAAACAAAGTATAAAGAGGTAAAGTCACAAAGTCACAAAGGTAGTGATTAATAGAGCAGAAATTTGAACACGAAAGGTGTAGCAGCACCGTCTAAAGCCTTAATCACTTGCAAGAATACCTGTTCTATCTAGGAGAAAGGACTTTTAAGAGAGGAAGAATGTAGGCAGAAGAGATATAGCTAAGTTGGTAAAAGGGAAAAGTGAAGTAAATTTTTCTGGATCCAAAGTTTCAGACCCACATCTGACCCTACAGCAAACATTGTAGGGATATTTTCCAAGAGATTCACTGCGACTTTGGGGACAAATTATGTTTGAAGAGACCGAAAAAGAGAGAGGTAGGAAACAAACATGAGCTTTAGTGATATGTGCAATACCAGAATAAAGATGTTGATATTTTGAGAGTTGGCACCAGTAGCAAAGGCAGCATTAAACACACTTATGTGTCTTCCCAGACAGCTTGCATCAGATTTGAAGGTCAGAGCAAGAGAAGCAAGTATTCTGTGCCACTCGGAGACCACAGATGCCAGATTGATGGGATCACAAAGGAATTTATAACCTGGACAGGAAATGCCACATGGACATTTGTGGGATTAAGTAGGTGGGATTTAGATTATTATCCCTAAGTACAGATTTAAGAAAACACAGATTCCTAAAAACTAGCTTTTTAATCCCCTGCAAAACTAAAAATAATCTTACCAACAAAAAAAGCAAAAAATTGTAACCATGGGCAAAGAATTTGAAAATAATCAAAATCAACATTATTTAGAAATAAGAATAATAGACTATTGAAATGTTTCTGTATTTTGGGGGGTTGTTTTTGCCTCTTAATAAGCATTTCTGACATTACTGAGGCTTTTTTTAGAAAACGCTAAAAGCTTAAACTCTGTACAAGAATAAAATCATGGAAAGGGAAATATGAACCGATTCACAAAATACTAACACCCTATGTATTAATCAAAAATCACTACTTGAGGACATCTAAAATTGGGGAAGGGGTGATTTTTGTTAGTTTTCTTGTTTAGGTACTAGAACTGGTCTTATCCAACTGTTAAGATTCCTGCAAGGAATGCATAAAAGTACAGCTAAGAAAGGTCATAGAAAAAATGTGAGCATTGCACGGATGCTAAGCATGACAGAGAAATTCGGAAGGAAAGCAGAGGACAAGAACTTCCATGCCTCCTCATAGTTTAGTGCCTTTGGGGAATATGACTAGGAGAAGCAAGACCGACAATTAGACCTTGGTTTTCCCCGGGCATTTAGGGTCGGTACTGTTTGTCTTATTGACAGGCTGATCAACAAAGTGAATCGCAAAGGTTTTCAGTCTTACCGCAAGAATCTGTCAAGGCAAAGATCAAAGGGAGCAGTACACAGATCATCTCTTCATCAAGTGTTTAGAAAGCAGAGAGAGATGCTGGTGAAGCATTCAATACAAACCCAATTGGTAATAATGATGGGAAATGATGAATTATTATGCAAATATTGAAAATCTTTCTAAGCAGTATTTAGTGAGATGGAACACGTATGATTTCACACTAAAGAGAGAAGCAAAAATAAGATTTTAAACAAGTGGTCACATATATAAATATTAATTTGCATATCTGTATGTATAAATAGTTTACAAACAAAGAAAGTAATTTATCAAAATTTAAGGGAATTATATTTGGATAGTACAATAAAATTTAAAAGATTTTTATTTATATTTGTCAATAATTTTCATATATTTTATAATTTCAATCATTTTTTAAATTTCAGTACTTTTATATATTTCAGTAGTTTTCTAACTATTACCTACATACCTTTTGTGGAGATACTAAATATGCATGGTACTGATAAGAATCTCAATGTTCTTTTTAGGAGTCTCCAGTTTCCATCTTACCATTAATTCTACAGGAAGAAAATAATTTTAAGAAGAATTTTATTAACTACTGTCTAGAAACTGAGAAATTATCGATTTTGCTCATTGTAGTTTTAAAAAACAGAATTAAACTAAAAATAAATGAACTACATTTTGATTACAGCCCCTCTTAACTAACCCAAAATCCAATGAATGAAGGAGTTAGATATACACAGCGCTAAGTTACCTGGAACTAATTTTCACTAAAGAATCATTCTTGTCAAGTAAAAAATAAATTAAGTAAATGATATTAGCTGACTGAACAAATACTGATCTCATAAATTTAAAACCATAACTCCAAATTATAAATGTAGAAGGAATTAGGAAAATAGAGAATTATAATTAGAATACCATAGTAATCATGGCTGTTGGCAAAATCAGCTGATGGATGAGAAACTTGAAAGATAAGTAGAATAATTTCATGTCCTAAAACTCTCTCTCAAAAGTACTTATTAATTATAATGGTGGCAGTAACATATTTCCACAAATTATATGATTATCTTCTCTACAGAAGGTGAAGCTTGATTCTCCCTTTTACTAGACTATTAATTTGTTTTGGACTTAATGACCAGATTCTAATGAGCTGAATATAGAAAAGGGAAAATAATCACTTTACAGGAGACATGTTGGCATGTACTCCTTTAATTGAGTGTTATCCTAAGCCGCATTGCTATCTTATGTCCTCTGACATAATGGTAGAGAAAAGTACATGTTCTGCAGCGTTTTTCCAGATTCTCTCACTCCTTGCTAATCATGAAAAAAATAGCAAACCAATCCATACTAAGAAGGAAGCTGCAAAACATCTAGCCGGTATTCTTCAGCAGCATCAAGCTCAATAGAAATAAAGGAACACTACCGAGGAAATCTCACAGCTTACGAGGCCAAGGAGATATAATTTCTGAAAGCAATCTAGATTGCCAGATTTTATGCTAGATCAGAAATAGCACTTTCATGCAAAAACTGGTGAAACCTGAATACAGTCTGCAGTTTGGTTGATGATATGCTTCTAAGGTTCATTTCTTAGTTCTGATAAATGTACTAGATGGCTATACAGAAACTTGAAATTAGAGCAAACTGGATAAAGGGCATATAGGAATTCTCTGTCCTGCCTTAAAACTCTTCTATTATCTACACATTTTAATGAGTATTTACTTAAATTCTCCAGTCAACACAGAATCTACTTGCTATGGTTTGGATATAGGTTCAGGTGCCACCCTCAGAAGGATTAATGCCGTTCTCCTGAAACTCTGAGCTATGTTTCCTGAAAGTAGAGTATTGGAGAGTAAGACCGGCCCTTCGCACTCTTTGGCTTCCTGTTCCACGCATGACCAATCTCACGGGTGCTGGCATTGTGACGCCACTTGCCACGAGCTCTCACCAATGAGTGTGATATGACTGACCAACCTTGGATTTTTCCAATCTGACTTAAATAAGCCTCTTTTCCTTACAAAATCCTCCACCTCGTCCATTTTCTTATACAATAGAAGGATGAACTATGACAACACCCCATATCTAAATAAGCGTACTCTTATTCTTATAGCTGCTCAGGCTGGGAAGCAAGACTCTGGGATCACTTCCTCTGCCTGGACATTAGGTTCTTACTAGTATAAGAAAATAGCGCAATCGTGCCCAGTGCTACTACGAGCTCCCCAATCTACTTCTTCATCTTTTCTTACCATAACGACAGTAGCTTCCTTCCTGTTCTTCCTGCTTGCATGTGTGCTCCTCCCTAACCCATTCTCCACAGTGTCTGAAGCGACGTAACAAGTCTGTTATGCCGCTAACTCGCCTAACCCTTGTTAGCCTCTATGAATGGGTTTGTTTTCCATAGCATGATGCACACAGCTCTGTTTGAGTCTGTCTTTCTCTTCAGTTTTATGTTGGGCTACAGTTTCTTTTTTTTTTTTTTTCCTTCATAAAGCTGCTGGCCATATCTTCCCTCTATTCAGATTACATGAAAGTCATTCTAAAGTGTAGGTGTTTTTATGTACTGTTCCTTCTTCCTGAATTCTCATTCTCTATTTCCACTTTCCTTGTCTGGCTTTTTCATCATCATGCATGGGTCTGCTTAAATACCCTTCATCAAGAAAATGTTTACTGACTCCTCCCCAAGACCTATACCAAGTAACATCCACCTACTACCGTACGCTTTTGCTAGCTATGCTTACGCAGACAGCTGTTTCCAATTTTCTGTGTAAGTTTCCTAGTCCTTCCTAGTCTGAATAAATACTTCGGAATCTTAGTCAAACACGAGGAAGCGTGTACTGATCACTTAGGGAGGTGGTGGCGAACCTTTTAGGGCTTTCAGTGATAACAAATGCAACTGTAGTAAGTTTGCTGACTTAGGAGAGGACAGGTAGTTGATCTAACCCTTGTAACAGCTCTACCAGAGAGTCTGTGGGTGAAGCCGGGGTCTATACGCCACCTTTTTCTTTCTTGTGCCGTGAAGCATTCTGAGTGAGCCCCCACAAACTCTTGTCACCCAGATTCATGGCCTTCTGAGGCTAAACTTGAGACATCTCATAGAAATGTCAGTCAGTTCTTCTCGAGCAGCTGGACATCATATGCTTATTGTTTTATACTGAGCACAGTGAGTGAACTGATGAGTTACTTCCATACTCTTGTTATTAAGAAATATCACATCCCTCCTTGTTCCACTGTATTTCTACCCTGATGTCTTCTCCAGGATTTCCTGTCCTACTTCATCGTGAGAGAGTCAACACTGCTTCCTCTTTGGTTTCATTCTCTTCCTTGGTCTTCCCCAACTACCTATACTTTCACTAAGCTTCGAACTAATTTACCTAATCCTCCAAAACTTCTTTTAGAATTTTTTTTTCTTTTTCCCTTTGATGCATGGTATTTCTGAAAAGACATTTGTGCACAATTCTACCTCTTCTTGCCCACTTTTATAGCTTTTTAAGATTGCTGCACTCCTCTGGTATAAATCTCTTTCTTTGCCACTTTACAGCCTCTCCTCCCTTGCTGTCTCTTGATGAACCTGGACGTGAGGCTGTCTTTGTTCAACAAAACTGTATGGTTCTCCTACATTTCTAAGCCTCCCTAGCAATCAGGTCCTGGTAATGTTATTAGTTTTGACCAATGAACTATGTGGAATGGAGACATATATTATTTTGGGGATATGGCTGTGGATTCTCTCTCTCTCTCTCTCTCTCTCTCTCTCTCTCTCTCTCTCTCTTCTAATTCTAGCCTCAGCTCTGCTTTTCTTCTCTAAGTACTAAAAACATCAGAGACGATGTATTTCAATATTTCAAATTACCTGCAGGATGGAGAAGGGTAACCAGAACCATGTTTGCTCTTAGGTGAAAACTAAATGGACATTGTGTTAAATCAGAGAAATTTTCATGATTTTCTGTTACATAAAAAATTATTACTTATACTGGCCAGAATTAATCCTCTTCTCTGTTATCTGGAAAAACTGAAACAAAAGTGTATTTTGTTGAATTTACCTTGTCCCATGTTTTCCAAAAGGAGCCATCTGTTCCTATTCACTCTTTGGTACTTTCTACTCACCCTAAGCTTCACTTTCCCTTATCCTTAATTTATACCTCCATGATACTTAATGAGGTGAGTACAAAGTCCCTCTTACCATCTTGTCTTAGCCAGGTACTTAATAAAACAAAGCCTAAGGCTGCCTGCAAATGCTTTACTGGGAAGGGCAATACTAATTACAAGGCGGAATTTTGCTAAACAGGACTTCATGAGAAAATTACAGCAAGTTTCTCAGTCATGCAGGATATCTCTAGAACGGGTAAGTGGGACCATGGTGCATGGAAGAAAACTGAAGGGACAGGAAAGATACAAAATGTATCTGCCAACTCATTTCTGTCTCCTTTTTCTCACTGGTCAACCTTTGCTCTGTATTTTTCAGCTTGTATTACCTGATTGATCCAGGAAGTCCTTGGACAAGCCAGTTCTTATGTCCAAAGCTTTGTGCTTTACTAAAGACCGAAGTGGTGGAGAGGCACCAAATCTGAGGTGAGTTGCTGAGTAACTGAGGCATTAAAGGTGACATAGTCCTTGCCTTAGAAGAGATTGTGCTGGAGCCTGGCTCTTATCTTAAAAGTAGATAAGATGGCTAGTATTTCCGGGAGGTGAGATTGCACAGCCATGGAGAATAAGGGTCTCTGTCTAACAAGTAAGTAGTCCAGGGCCAGGAGATAGATGGGTAGGCTGAACAAACTTGCAGGCAAAAACAGACTGGGCATGGTGAAAATGGTCACAAATAATGTGTCTGACACTTTTCCAACTGCTTTTTTGGTCTCTAGATTTATAGGTTGCTACAACTTCCAAAATCTGCAGAGATCTGTTGCATGAGCATCTCTGCTTCTTCAAGAAAATCAACACTTCACTGTTTACAAAAAAAATCAAAATACCAATGAACACAAATATCAAGTTGAAACATTGCAGTTGGCCAGTACAAAATAAAATGCCACAATATAACTTAGCTCCTTTGAAACAAGTTTATTTTAGATGCCCATTCATCCTTTATTAGAAACAGAACACAAAGGCCACAAACCCAGCTGGAAAATCTCTTCTCAAAATATATATCCTTAATAATAGTCAATTCGGCAGTCTTTTGCATAAATACAAAATCTCCAATGCAAATACAGGATCGGGATTGTTTCAATTACCTCCTGGAGCAGGCTAACAGTCATGAACAACTTAACACACGACATTTTATCCTGAACATGAGTGTGGAGGAGCAGAAAAGAACCAGGCAGAGAGTCAAGAAGCCCCAGAGACTTAGAAAACTCAGAATTATGCCAACTACACTAGCTCTGCAGTTGAAATGCCCTTAATGACAGCGTATTTCAAAACCATTTCCACCCAGCTGGCAGACCCAGACAGAAAAAAGGACAATCAGCCTGAAGAGTTCATTCAGCTGCCACCTTTGCCCGTGCCACACGTGTCTCCATGGGCCAGGGCTGAGGATTGAGGGAGATGTGGGGTTTACTGCCCAGACCCTGATTATGAAATAGAAGAACAGGTCTCAGCTCCTGCTAGCATTTCACTCTCACCCAGCAGGATGGCGATTAGCTGTGTTTTCTCTAAGCCACCGCTTTTTAATATCCTTACTGACCATTTTCTGTATTCATGTTTGGAACCTGGCTATGACAACGTCTGTATGGGGCAGGTGGGGTTTCACGAGGTCTTCAGTCTTAGCCAGCTCAGGGCGGCACAGTATCACTGTAGCTATGGAAGGCATCTAGTGACATTGTAGACAGCAGAAATCACTAGCAGGTTGAGTTTGAGTGTGTTCCATTCCAGGTTTGAGACCTGGATGTGTTCCCTGGATATTTTCTGATGCTGTGGAAGAAGAGAAGTGCTAATTGGCCGATGCCAGGGTTGGGCTGAGAAGGTAGATGCGTAGGTCCATGAAATCTTCCCTTTCCTGAGAAGGTTAATACAAAAATCAGTTACCTGTGTGGAACCAAATATAATCACGCCTTATTTAATGATGTTTCATCTTCAGGGGGAAAAAATAGGAAAGCAAACTATGTGATGTTGGGTAAAAGTTATTCAATTTGTGTGCAACTTAGGTTCCTCATCCATGACGTGTGTGTAAAAATTCTACCTTGTCAGATTGTGATCAAAGTAAGTTATTTCATGAAGTGCTTCATATAAAGCGTCATACAAGGATATAAAAAAATGAATGAGAAGATCCACTGTGCCTCCTCCTCATTCTAGCTAGAAAAATAAACACCTGTAATGCCAGCATGCCCTACTAGTTCTTGCTACTTACACCGGTTCTAGGCAAATGAGGATCTCTCAGTGTACCCAGTGAAAGAATCAATTTTACCTAGGGTTGATAGTATTTCTGTCATGACTGGCTTATGTAATGATCTGCCAAACACTGTATTCCCCTACACGCACCTGCCTTTGACATAAAAGTCTGAGCCAACATGATTCTGTCCTTCAGGTTCAAACCCAGTTGTTTCCTTGGTAGGGCAGTTAGGTAGTCCTAATTCAAAGTAAACTATAGACCACAATATAATTGGTAATCAATACACCACAGAAGAATAAGTGAAAGTGTTTTTAATCTCGAGTCTTAATTAAGAAGACAAGGATTCATCCTGCTTTACTTAGAATCCAAATGTCTGTCTTACACCGCCTTGTGACGATTAATCCTCCCCATGCCATCCCCCACCACCACCTTCTGCTCCCACTCCCACCACAGGTTTTATGGAGCTTTCATCCACAGTGCCTCCGTAAAATGAGATCCCTAGGCTAAATCACTGTGCTCTAACTCTCCGGTTTTTTTCTCACATCGTTGAAAAAAACCCCATTAATGTTATTATATGAGGGTGGAGAGCTGATAACTGAGGGAAGACATCACCTTTCTTGGAAGAGTCATTTTGCACAATCCTGGAGCTTACCACAATGGGTCCCTTCTCTGTGGAGCAAAATAAATCTCTTCCTCTCTTAGTCTCCACAGTACTTTGTTTACACATTTGTCACAACATTTAAATTTCCTCCAGGAACTGCAATTGTGTCTTTTTCAATGTTGTATCCAATGCATCTAACACATTGCTTCACACTCAAAATACTCATTGGATGCAGAGTTGTTTCGCTAGAGAAAGTCACCAAACCATTTTCAAATTACTATTTATTTCCTTTTTAAGTTGGATTTTTGCCAGAAACAATAAATATTTTAACCTCTAAGATTAAAATCTCTGTGTGCATTCTGTTAAACTGTGTTAACTCAAAAATCCTATT